GCATGCTCACATGGAAAACTCTCCAACTGAAATCTCGTACAAGTGCACGTGTTATCAGTCAAGTCCACCATATATGCCGTATTACATGCACATTGCACGGAGAAGCGAAACTCATCTAGTGCTTCCACATTCAACTTCCTCGCAACCTCTGCCACCTTAAACAGTTTCTCCTCTTGAGCTGGGGCCAACACACTAGTACAACTCTGTGATGCCGCACGTAGGTCATGAAACCACTGTTGTAGTTTGTTACGAATGTTCTCAATCATTGCGAGAATTGGTAACTCTCGATCCTTCTTAAACAATGCATTGAGAGACTCCGCGTTATTTGACGTCATTATGTTGTATCGACGTCCTGGAAAGTATTACCACGCCCAATGTTCGATCCCCATCTTTGTCAGATACTCCAACGTCGGTAATGATTTACTTCCTATCTCGAGCATGAACTTATTACACTCTTCAGCACTGTAAACTTCGGCTGCTCTCCTGAACAATGAAACGATGCCTGTGCTCCGATACCTAGTCTTCAAATTACCTTGTATACGATATATGCAATACTCGTGATGTGCCTCGGGAAAAACTTCAGCGATACCGTTTATTATAGACTATCCTCGATCGGTTACAAAGGTAAGGTCTTCGACTTCCCCGATCACTTCCCTCAGTTTAGAAAAGAACCAATGCATGGACAGATCATTCTCGCTGTCGACTATGCCGAATGCAATATGGTAAATTTGGATGTTGACATCTTGACATGTAGCAATAATTAATTTGCCTTGATATTTAGCTTTCAGAGTTGTACCATCAACTAGAATTACGGGTCGTATTGCATTTCGAAAACCCCGAATACACTGTCCAAGAGTCATGAAGAAATACTTAAAACAATTATCGCCCTCCGTCTCAATAAAAAATACCGTGCCAGGATTAGTTGTCCTCATGTTATGACAATACCTAGCCAATTTAGCATAGCTCTCTTTAGCCGATCTCATTAAATCCTCCAACGCACATTCTTTGGCCTTCCACGCTTTCTGATAGCTCATGACCACTTCGTACTCTCGACGGAAGTCGTTAATGATGTCCGAAGGTCTGTAGATCGTCCATGGATCCTGATACTTGTGCATTATCTGTTGACCAATAAATCATGCTCGAGCTTGTCTGTGATCGTTTCGAAGAGTTCCCACTTCGCAAGTATGTTCCCGTAAATATTTGCGAATTACGAAGCACTCATTCGTGTCCATCTTAATTGCTCTCAAGCGCCAATTGCAACTGTCTTCGACGCAAGCAACTGTCAACAATGACTTGTTTGATTTCTTTACCTTGAACTCAAAGTTATATTTTAATGCTAGCCGGTGCACAGCTTCCTGCAAATCTTTCTTGATTTCAAACAGTTGCTCGACCTGCAAGTCCTCATCATCGGGAGCCACACGGGAAGAATTGGAGAACGGTCCACTTGTTTCAACCTGTGAACTCCCACCAGGCTCGTGTCTCTGTCGGGATAAAGCAATCAAATTCTCATTTGTAAACTCGTTTATATTTTCATTGTCTTCAACTGTCGATATAATTCTGCGCATAACAGCGACATCACGATCAGAAGCAACTGTCTCAGGAATACCCACATCATTCGCAGGAACTATCTCCACTGTCTCCCAAAAACCTCGATCATTGTTATCCGCCCTATCTGAATCTTCGCGTTTACCTTCGATAACATCCTTCGTAATTAAAGTCACACCAAGAACAGTCGGAGTCCGATGCATTTTATTCAGTTCTAATAGATAATTCAATTCAACATCATTAGTAACGAATACCGGTGGCATCGGAATGGATGAATCCCCATAACCGTTGAATAGATATCTCAATTGCAGATCGTATTGAGATTGATCGACATTCAGCTTATTTTGCAAATCGTGGTACATTTCTAAGTATGGTGTACTCTTTGTTACGAGAATTGCAATACAACCACGTATGTCACTCGTCCATCTCCATTCCCCCCGATTATTTTCATTCAATTCGAAATCATCAAAATAACACACGGGGATTATCATATTTGCATGAGGAAATGATTTTAATCAACTCATTTATTAATTATAAGAAAAAGGCCAACAAAAATCAGTTGCAGCCAATTGACTGTTTAACAGCCAAAAGCCGGCTGTTAGCTGACTGTTCGACTGTTTAACACCCAAGCAGTCGGAAGCCAAGCAGTCGGACTGTTTTCGACTGTTTGGCTGTTTGTTAAGCCAAAACACCCAGTTTGACGTAGGAGAATATCGTTCTAAAGTTGTATAATTTTTTTTGATAGGTAAGATCTGTTAAAAAAAATCTATGTCGACATAAAATTTCTCTATTTAAACGTATACTAATTTACTGAAAACAAAATTAAACATGCGTAAATGTACTTACCGATTTGAAGTAATTGATGTGAAAAAAATTTCCAGTTTCAACGTTCCAAAGTTCTTCTAGATTTTGAGGTTCAAACAGATGAAAGGATGAGAGTTTTTCCTGTGTTGGAAGCTCGTTTTGAAGTTTTTATAAGTAGGGAAATGTGTGGTTTTCAATTATTAACTAAAATGGTAGTATAGTTCTTTCAACAATATATTGTTTTGTAATTGTACAAAACATTTAAGGGCATCTTTCTCTTTTACCATACAAGAGGCCAATGTCATAATATTCATGATTTTGGAAATCAAAGTGGAATTTAGCTCCTTTGATTGGGTCAAACTTAAAAGTACCCCGTGACCATGTGTAGCATACGTGTTTTAGCATATTAGTTTTGGTTTTGATTTCAAAATTCGAGGGGTGAAGGGTAGAGAAGAAGATTAAGTTTTGGAGGCGGTTTGGGTGGACTTATCTCTTTTTTGAAAAAAAAAAAAATAATAAATATATATATATATGTGTGTGTGTAAAATTATCACTCTACAGTTTGAAAATTAATCAAAATATAATCAAATTCAATTTTTTTGGTCAACAAACGATCATATGACTGCAACCAATTGAAGGGTTTGAAACTGTAGATGTCACAAATAAAAAATTGGGGTTAAACCCACAAAATTTGGAATCGTAGCTTCCATTTTTTCATAAAAGATTCAGGACGAAAAAGAAACATAGACAATATAATGGGGACTGTAGTTATTTTCCCCTTCGATTTCCCATTTTAGGGTTAGACCTTGTTTAAGCGCTGCCACCCAATCAGTCCATAACCAAACGATGCTGTGTGTCAGCACAAGAGCAGCGTCAGCTCGCACACACTTCTTGTCGTCGTCCTTCACCGCCACCGCCACCGCGTCCTTTTCCGCCGCCACTCTCAAGCCTTTTTATTACAAACCCTTCAAATCCCGTTTCCATCCCTCCATTAAAATGCTGTCATCATCCAATTCCGATCCAAATCCCAAACCCAGTGAATTTGTCGAACACGTTGTGCTCTTCAAAGTCAGGCAGGATGCTGATCCTTCTGCAATCAACGCCATGGTCAACAACCTCAACGGATTGGCCTCGCTCGATCCAGTGCTCCACCTCAAGGCAGGACCAATTGCCCGCGTTAGATCCTCCTCACTCTCTTTCACCCACATGCTCCACTCCCGACACAGATCTAAACCCGACTTGGGATCCTATGCTGATCACCCGGCCCACATTAGCGTCGTGACGAACTACGTCAGGCCAATCATCGACGATGTCATGGCTGTCGACTGGGCATCCGATGACATCACGGGTTCGGTAATCGTCCCTCACGGGTCGGCCATGCGGTTCACGTTTTTGAAACTGAAGGAAGGTGTTGAAGAAAGTGGTAAAAACGAGATTTTCGGAGTGGTTAAGGGGATTAAGGATAAGTTTCCATCGATCGAGCAATTGAGTGTTGGGGAGAATTTTTCGCCAGGGAGGGCGAAGGGATTTTCAATTGGTTCAGTTGCAGTTTTCAAGGGAATGACTGAATTGGAGGCTTTGGATTCGGATTCAGAAGTGGCGAATGAGCAGAAGGACAAAGTGAGGGAATTTCTCGACAGCGTCTTGGTGTTGGATTTCCATTAGGGACGCAATTGGCTTTTCATTTTAACGTTATGCTGACAATAATAATAAAACCGTACTTTGTTTTTTTGCCATCTTTCTGCTCTTCAAATTGCATAGATAGTTGATTTCCTTAATTATCCATCTCATGTTTAGATGAATCTTATTATTGGCTTCTCGAATCGAGCCGAGCAGGCTCAGCCCTTGAACAACCAAGCTTGTCTCCGTGGGACAAGCCGGCTCATAAATTAATCAAATTAGCTGAAGGCATCAAGTATAAATCATGTGGAATCTCCATTTAACACACAATAACAAGTATTTCCATAAATGCTTAATCGATTTCTTCTAACAAAAAGAATAAATAAGATTACATTTGAACATACAATGGTTGCGTTGCCACACCATATCTGTCATCTTTCTGGAGACAAAAATGAAACCACCAAGCAAAACTGGCAGATTAACCTTAGGACATGACAAACACTGTTTTCCTCCCTTTCGACAAGAGGAAAAGCACTTCAAAAAATCACAAGGACTCCGGACTAGTTGAGGGTCTGATTTTTGACGGCATCTGGACAAATCCATGTATTCTGCCTCCAAATTTTGCGCTTGAATCCCTAGGTGTAATCGACATTTTGTCTAGAGAGTAGTCGAATTCATCAAAATGAGCAATGCCCTCATCATCACTAATATTATCTGCCATGTTGGTCCCAACCTCGTCAATATCTTCATCACTTGCACTTTCAGCCTCCTCGTCTTCATAGTAGCTACTTCTCACCATTGACCAATACACGAAATTTGGCCGTATGAATCTTCATGACAATTAATAAAGGCACGTTTAAGTTTGATATACAGTAAAGCAAAATTTGGTCATTTTCTTCTTAAAATAGACTTTTCAATTTGACAAATAATGGTTCGACTTCGTAAAGCCCCTGTTTGGTAAAAATTAAAATTAAAATTTTAATTCAAATCAATGTCAATAATTAATTTTAACCACATATTTCATCGAACCCACATAATTTCAATCACAATTTTCATCTACTTTTATCAAAACCTACCAAAAATCTGATTTTAATCCCCACCAAACCTGGGCAAAGTAGGCATCTACAGGCTTAGGGAAGTACTGAAGTACGATCGAAGCAAAGACAAACCTGTCAGATTTCCTTAACAAGCAGGGATCAAAAGGGAAAAACACATCGAGCCTTTCTACCCCACCAAAAGCCCGTGAAAGTTCTGATTCTAGCATACCATAATCTGCAAAGGTGTCTGGCACATCAAATATTTGATTTGTTTTTGCCAGCCGGAGAAATTCTTCTACTATTGATGGCAAGCATACCTGCTCCAGAAAATTGAAGCAATGAACCAGAGTTAACTGTCTACTAAGGAGATCAATACATATCCTCAAGCCAATTACGAAAATGGAATTAGAACAAATGATGACGCGCTAACATCAATACATGAGCACTCAAAACAGAGGACCCATCGACAACTATAGGGTAAACTTGACTAAGTTCATACTCATACAACATTTCACCTGCAATGGTTTCAAAGGATGCTTAAGGATGTCCTCAATATGCAAAAGAAGAAGTTGAGATCTGAGGCGAGGCACAGAAATCATTGATCTCATGCGAAAGCAAAGCACATACAAAATGGCCTGCATGCAACAAAAAAATCATTAACCAACCAAATTTCCAGCATATTTTTTGGATATTTGGAACAAAATTATACAAGTAGCCAATAAAATCATTATAGAAGTTACACTGGCGATACAGTGACATTTAAGTTTTTACAGTCTGCTTCGGGCCTTAATCAGGTGAAGTGTAAATCCACACATAATATGAACTGAAAAACAAGCTTATTGAGTTGCATCCTGCAAATGGTGCAGGTAACATGTTCCCATCAGGCAAAACCTATGCCTACAAACTTAGAGACACCACAAATAGCACATCCAAATGACAACACTCATTCCACCTCCGAAAGTACTCAATACTATTGAGGGAAACGAAACCCTAGTGAAAGATACATGCAATAATTATAATTGCCCAAAGATCACAACCTCTAAAAGATGCCAGGATTCAGGAATGGTTCAAAATCTTGAGATTCTTCATATTCAACTACATGTCAAGACTTTATACCTGGCAACCAGCATAGAAGACTTTATGAGCTTTGGGATTAATGTCACCATCCTGGTTATTGCAGTAATCAAAACACCACTTCACCAAACTGGAACCTCGCATAAGATAAAAGATACTCAAGTCAGACATTTAAATTCCATTCTCAGTGGTTTTTCTTCATCCACGATCAAATTGGATAATTGACAACCTTTCCAGTGTAGTAGCAACAAAAGAGGGAGCCACAAACTTTGCGCGAGACAAATAACTAGCAAGATATGCAACAGCACTCATTCTGTAAGAATCCCAAAAAGAAAAATAGATCCCTTGTTCAGTAACCTTGATAGGTTAGTATAAAGTATAAACCAGAACTTGACAACACAGCTGGAAAATAAAATGGCTAAGAAAATATAAATTTGACTTGGAGACAATTCTATAATTGACCACAAATAAATGAAACCACAATTTGTCGAATAATGCATAGACATTCTTGCCCAAGATAAAAAGGGAAAGAGGGAGAAGAAGAAATCAGATTGAAGCAAGTGATCCATGCAATTCTCAAATTCTTGGCGTTATATTAAGTAAAAACACAATGAACATATTGCCACATAGAACTAATTATAAAAGAGCAAGGCACAAAAAGAAAGGTATTAACTATTTCTAATAACACTTCTCTGAAACCAATAAACAATTTCATACTATTTTACACCATGCATGACGAAGTTTCAAGTCTCTCTGCATTCAGACATCGGATTGTTATTGTTACTAGAGAGGTCTTCAACACAAAACTTATGGTCTCATTTGAGATAAGATTAATATATATAGCCTGTTTGAACCCCATTTTATTGTAAGAATGCATTTTGAAATGATAAATTGATATAAGGAAAAATTTTAGGTTTGCTGTAATCTTATTTTATTGAAGAATATGTGGTTGAAAAAAAGAGAGAAAATATATTTTTAAATAATGGGGATCAAAAAAGGGCATAATGAAGTTTTCCAATTTAAAAAGGCATAACGTAATTAACATAACCATCTCATTTACATGCATAAGCTAGACTTTCTTGAGGAAACATGGATAAGTCTGTTCATATTTAAGAACAGAATTATGAGCCACAACAACATATTTGAGAAGTATTTATCATATTGCAAAAACCTATACATCATATTGTGTAGCAATTGCATTCTCTTATGTCTGCTGAGATCAAGAATGTTATAAAATGTAAAATGAAGCTCATCTGCTAAATCAAGAAGTGAATTCTGATACCGAGTGCATCATACATGTATACGCATGAGATGCACAAAGCACACACTTAATTCAAAAAGAGATCTTGATATTTACCTCCATGCAGGATAGACACCACTCACAAAAATATTCACAAGTGTGCTTGTGAACATCTTTCCACAATTTTCAGGATCCAGGGAGCAAGCATAGAACATCACAAACTACAAAAGATGCGTATCTTTGAGTAACAGAATGGTTAAGAAAACACACTACCAGTAAATGGGCCAGAACAAGAGCCAAGAGGTTTTGATAGAAAGGGAAGAACGAAAAATAGACACACAACAAACTAGGGCATGTTTTGCCATTTTACACAAGGCGAAAAAGTAGATACCTGAGCAAATTTTGATTTGTATGCAGTCAAAACAGTTTTCTGAAATGACTGAAGGAGTGTTTCAAAAACCTGAAAAGAACATGGTAGATAAACTATTTAAGAAAGCCAGGATAATAGAGCACCAAGTTAAGAAAGCATGATAATGGAGTTACCTGAATCAGACGGCCACTTTCTCTACAGGATTCAAGGTGTTCAAATGTAAGCACCAATAAACTATCTAACTTTTCGGCAACCAAGTTTCCACCAAAAAACCTTTGTATCACAGATTCCCTAGTAAGCTGAAAACACAGATTTGTATAAGCCTTTGAGAGATGATAGTATAAAATTGAAAACAAAAAATACGTCCTTGTACAGACTTAAAGATTATCTTGCTCCTAAAATTCTCACACCAACCGCAATTAAGCAAGTAAATGCTTCAACTTATCAATTTATATGAGTCTTGATGTCTAGAATTGAGGTCCTTAAAAATAAAATCTAGCAACGCTTGGTCCTCTTAAGAGTTTCATTTTCTGGCAGCACAAAATGCACAACTTTTTTTGTAGATACTATTCCCTGATAACTAAAGCAGCATGCTATCGAGAAATGAACTTGTTTTGCTGTAAACCATTGATTGAATAAACTTTAGAAGTAATGTGAAGAGGACAACAAAGATTTTGTCAATATGATATGGAAGATCATTAAAGTAGGAAAACAGTGGCATTCATTTAAGGTAGGAATCATGAAAAGAACCTCGTTGCCATCTTGTTGAACTTGATCTGAAAACCCCTCAAGGTCTTCCAGCTCCATATCAAAGATTCCTTTACAGAAATCATCCTGTAAAATGTCATCCCATGCAATTTCCACCTGCATCAAGACATATAAATTAGACCACTGAAAAGTCACTCTTCAGTTACTAACTCTGGTGCAGCCTTGAAAAACTCACATCTAAATCTATTAGCCTATCCATTATTGTGACGAGCATTGAACCACCAACAAGTTTACCTGCTGCACCACTCTCCAATCTTAACATGTTCTCCACATACATCACAATAAACTGCACAGAAAAATGAGTGTAAGATTGTAAGAAGTTCCAGATCAGAACAAGAGAGAGAAAACTGAAAACCAAACGAATTTAATGCAGCTTCGTACACCAATGTAATTCGCCCAGTCCAAATGGTATTTCAAATCGATGAAGGTTCATTCTACTGTATTCCTTCATTAAACTTCATTTTTAACAATTCAGAATGTGCAAGTATCTTGTTCGGAAGAAGATACAGAATAATACTTATTAAACTCTTAGTAACAATTGAAGAGACAGTAATTATTTTATTCTGAGTGGAAAACTAAAAGGAATAGCACGTCGTGAATTAACATGCAATGCCTTGAGTTGCCTATGCACAAAGCACAACAATATCTGACAGGGCCATAATACTTTATCGTGCAGAACCCACAACAGACTGCAACACTTCTCACAAGAATGACTTCTGACCACAAAGCAACTTAAAACAAAATTTGTACCGTGGCACTCATATGATCAAAGTGACAAAACTAATCACAAATCCGTTTGTGCAATCCACCACCAAGCAAACATGGACAAAGACAATGATCATGTGTGTGGAACACACTAATAGTAAGACAGATCATAATGGCAAACGAGAAGGGCCAATGCAACAAGATGGCTAACAAAAGGAGGAGCCATTTGTTGTCAAGACTCAAATAAGGCACTTTAGGGTGCCGTAAACAAAAGCCTACTAGTATTAACTACACAATTTTAATTTTTGTGTGTGTGTGCACATGAGAGAGAGAGAGACTTCCACGCTCCCTTGAGGTGGTAAGCTTGAATGTGAGGCCTAGAAACTGAATACAGACAATGATCATCAAGAAAACAGATAAGGGGTGTTTGAATTATGTCTTACAGGTTCTTTTGTGTATATGTTTGGCATTCTATCCCTGATTATCTTCTCCAACCTCAAAGGAGTAAGAGGAACTAAATTGGCAATATCTTGAAAAGTTGAATGGATGCGATCCAGAACTTGGCGCTTCTTATCAAGTCCCCGTGGTTGCTTCAAGAATTCTATGAAATGAGCAGATGAAGAAGACGGTGGCATGAAATTGGTTACGAGCATTTCCAAGCACAAGTCAACATATTGACCACTTGATGCAGCCTATATTATAAATTACAAATAGTAAGAAAATGGCACTGGATCAATTATTAAGTAACGTCCTTAATAACTAATAAAAATGTTTGATAGCATAATTGCAAGACATACTATCACATACCAAGGAGATTAGAAGTTCAACCAACGCATCCATCACATCAGTCCCATAATTCCACAAGCTCATTCCAAATATCTGAAGTTCCAACCACCAACTAAATCAGAAAATTACCAATTAAGTATGATAATGAACATATGAGTTCAGTGTTCATGTATTTTCGTTACTCACTGCAGCAAGAAGAGATCGATGATGAACAATGTGTATGCAAGAAACTGCTCCAGTCAGAGCTTTCAAACATGTCTGCAATGTGATAATATATTAAATTAGAGATATAAAGGGGCCAGGAAGCAGCTAAGCAAAATAAAGCAAATACTGTTTAATTATTTATTATGACAACATACCACAAGAAGGGCCACCTCCTCCGGAACAAGACGGTCTTTATGGTGTATCACTGCAACAAGCTGGTTATAAAAGTCACGGTCACCCTACAAAACCAAAATGATTATAAGATTTACACCATGTAATAAAATAACACTATATTTAATTCTAGATTGAGCCGTAAAACATCCAAAACTTCAGAGATTTGTATTTTTTATTATTTATTATTTTATTTTTACCTGGACAGCAGCTTTAAGGGCATTCCTTACGTGATAGTCCAGCTCTGAATCCGTGAAACTAAGTTCATCCATATCAGGTAATACTGTTTGTTGAGTCACCAACTCCATTCCCATTTGTCTCTTACACACTTGAATTCACTACACTCCGATTCAGGTCCGAGGAACAATTCTACAAACACTGTAAACAATTGAAACTTATACTGCACACAAAATGAATTAGGAATTACCTCACATGCTTAAGGATTTCAAAAAATAGGTTAAAGACTACAAAACATTCAATCGGTAACTAAGATTCTAGCACGATAGATGAGTACACCAACTCAACCAAAAATATTCACTCAATTGAAAACATATATATTAGCACAAGATTAGGATACTGACAATTAACAACTATACCTAGCAGAAATTGAACAAAATAAATTGTAAAAATGAAACAGCAAAAATCAGGTATATGACAGCATAAATACAATATATACGTGTATATATGGTTGTGGAGCCACCTGGGGTCAAGGGGGGTAGGAATTACCTCACATGCTTAAGGATTTCAAAAAATAGGTTAAAGACTACAAAACATTCAATCGGTAACTAAGATTCTAGCACGATAGATGAGTACACCAACTCAACCAATAATATTCACTCAATTGAAAACATATATATTAGCACAAGATTAGGATACTGACAATTAACAACTATACCTAGCAGAAATTGAACAAAAGAAATTGTAAAAATGAAACAGCAAAAATCAGGTATATGACAGCATAAATACAATATATACGTGTATATATGGTTGTGGAGCCACCTGGGGTCAAGGGGGACAGTTGCCCACCACTGCATTTTGGTCCTGGGTACCGATTACATAAAGAAAACCAAAAACAAAGACATCGAACAAAAATCAAGAGAGATGTTTCGAAACTCTCAATTGCGAAGGAAGATAATATCAAGAAACCACAATATTCAATCATTCACAACATTCATCAGGAATGCGAAATCAACATATAAAAGATCATTTTTACCCAGATAAATCTGATAATACCTTCCAAGTTTGATGATGAGCAAGTTGACTTAATCACAGCAACACTCGAAAAAATTGGTGGCAAAGGGTTATAAATACGTCTCCCTTCTTCCCTCTCCTCCACAGAAAAGGAAAAACCCTGAGCCGCTTGTCCCCTCATGTTACCCTAACAGGCCTGGGTTGGTTTTTAATTGGGCTTTACATTGCTTACAAGAAGAGGTAATTAGGCCCATTGCCCTCTAAAAATGACAAATTAGAAAAGAGGTAATTGGGCAACTCAATGGTATTCTATTAGTTTTCAAAATCCTAAAATTAAATTCTCTCCAATTTTAATTAATTTCGAATTACAATATGAATAGTTCTTTCACTATCGAATTGCGAATGTGACGACACAAATTTCAACATGTTCTTTTGACGCTAGAATCAAGTATAAAAATCACTTGTACATAATTTTTGGATTGGTTAAAAAATGTTGAATATTCGATGAATATGACTTTATTTTCGTGCTTAAAGTTGTATAAAAGAGTAATTTACTTCCGATATGTAACCTCAAAAGTTAGTGTAAATATGATAATTAAAATTTTGTCTAATTATTTGAATGTGGTCTTGAATTGCAATTTGATTGTAAAAGTCATGTATGAACTATGGAGTCATATTCCCATACATTTTGAAATTATCACGGAAAGCAACTCCATATTTTATGATTGCATTGTGAGTAATTGATTAATTGTGACCATCATTATTAGGTCAATGATTTATTGAAATATATTTACAAATAAGCTATTATAAATTTAGGTGACATATTAATACTTGATTGTAAACCTCTTTGTAATTGCATCATTAAATAAAATGCGTCAAAAATAGTATCCTTCATGATTTTATTTGAAAATTTAATCGTTGCTTAGAAGAGAAATTTATTTACTAAGATTATATCTTCAACGTGTCTTTCTACTTCAAATTATATTTCATAAATAAGTAGCAACAAATCATCTAGTTCAGTTACGGTGTTGGTTAATGACATTTAAAGTTCAATCATACTTGGTATATATCATAGCGTATATTAAGTTTTACACTTTACCACGTGACAAGACACAATTGGACGGTTTAAAAAGAAAAAAATAAAAATAAAAATAAAAAATTCACCAATCAAATCTTGACACCAAGGATGATATCAAACATGATGTACAAACATTACTGCACAAGTGGCATTATCTTTTAAGGTTTAAGGTACGAAAGAAGTAACAAATTAATTTAAAATTTTTCATCAGCGGAGTCGCCAAATCAACTTCGTTATAGTTCTTCCGTAAAATAAAATATTTCTCTAATAACTTTTTTTTATGTAAGGTGGGTTTATATAGTATTTGATAATACTAAAAAGTCCACCCTAACGGGCAAAAGGAAAAATAAATAAATTAATTAATTAATTAAAAATTCTAATATCTTGTCCATTAACTTGAAATGTTATATTGAGCATCGCTTACAAATATACTTAATAGTTTTCTGAAATACACGTTCAATGCAGGAACAAGTGATTTACTTTGCTAGAGTTTCAATAGTTCATGTCAACTCAAAGTTTCATGAATGTTAGCTACAAAGCATGCAAAAAATACCAAGTCTAGTTCCTCACTGGCTGCACAGATTGAGCTGTGGCTATCATTTGAGCCATGATACTAGCATACTGAACAGCTGTATGCTGTGCTGTATATTGATCCGAGAGGCCAAACTCTGCAAAATTCGGTTCAATATGCACAAAATGGCCTGGTAATGATCGTTTTGAGAGAGCTTCCTGCCACAAATCAAAGAACTCGCCCATGATTTGATGTGATTTTTCCCATGACGAAATGGGGAGATATTCCATCTGCAATAGAACAAGCAGATACTGAATACTTGTGGCTGATCGTTAAAGAACAGACTTCGATAGAAAGAGTCACTTTCCAGTTAGTTTTGTGGGACATAAACTCAGCGTTCAGGTCTAAACGAGGATCAAAGTTGTTCGTGTGATATGCATAACATTAGGAAATAGCTAGCCAAAAATAATGAGAGATTCTCATTGCTTTTCTGCCTACTCGTACTCATGTATGACAAATGATTCAGACCTAGAACTAGGTGATTTCCTTTTTTTTTCCTTCTTTTTTTTTTTTTTTTGCACATTAACAGGCACTAGCACTGTCACCATACGGTGAAACTCTTTATCCATATCTCAAACCGTAGAGAAGCTAGCAAGCCACGAGAATGAGGCTTATTGATGAGCAATTTGTAACGTTAGAATAATGGAGAAGCAGTCGAACTGTTACAAGCAAGTACTCAAAAATTGTGGATATGAATAATATGAAAGTATACAAAAGATATATAAAAGTTGAGAAATAAATTTTGATAATAAGCCGGTAGGATTCTACTTTCGAACGATGCACTTCAACACGGTAAATCTGATTCTAAATATCTGGGCATAAAATACTACCCCTTTCAATATTTTCCCATTTAGAGGCTATGTTTTTGAAATCAATGTTATGATGCACGAATAGAACATACACAAACCAACTGTTTTATTAACTCGGCCAACGAGATATGCACAAGAAACCTGGTGAAGTCTTGTAAATTTGTCAAAAAACATGATGATGCCTTGTCTGTAAACAGAAGCCATGTTTTGCTATCTCCATTGACAAATATAATCCACCCAAGGAGAAATATTAATTGGTGTTCTAGTTACATTATATAACGATCTTTTTTGATAAACTATATCTACCAACTTAAGAACCACATATTTGGTACCGTTTCTTTGAGCTGTTTTTCTGTGTGAGAACAGTAATCAGGCGTTCCAACACAAGTAGAACATTAGCAGCCACATGGTGAAAATTAAGATTGATTCATTTTTCTTCATTAGAACATTAGAAAATTACAATATGCATAAGCATGTATTTTTGGGGAAGATCTGTGTAGAGCACCTTTTGGGGAACATGGGAGTCGTTTGTTGAAAAGGTTTTACCAAGTTTTCCCTAAAAATTCCTGCCAAATCATTATTAGTTTTGCTGGCTTAAATTTACTTTTACATCCCTGACACGGATTTTGATGACTCGGTTTCCATAATGTACCTTAAAAATGTATAGTTACTTCTTAGGGATTGACATATTCTTAGCTGTCTTATGATTTTGCTTCCGTAACGTTTTTGGAATAGAACCCAAAGGAGAAAGGGCAGATAAGATTGAACATATCAAAATGATTGTATACCGTTAGACTAGGAACCACACACTCTCTCAAAGATACAGGAATACACATGTAAAATACCTTCTTTTTTTTTTTTTTTAATTCTACCTTATGACACCATTACACGTTCCCAACATGTTAAGAATATGTTGAAGGGCACTCTTTTTTCATCACAACATAGTTTTATAAACAGAAAATGGTTATAAGTGTAATGGGGCAAAATTTTGGGATCATAGAAGGAAGAAAATAGGAAAGAAACAGCTAGTTATACTTCAAACAATAAAGTGTACCACATAATTAACCTAGATTCTTGTACCCTCTAGACAGAGTCTTCTTCAGGAAAGAATTATGTGCTTAATACACTTCTGGATCCAACTCATTCTTGGCTGTTATGAAAGTTATCAGCTTTTCATTCATGCAAAGTCAGAGGTAAGAACAATGTTCACCAACTCTTCTAAAGTAATTTTTTTCATAAATCTAAAACTTCCTTTTACACACAATCTGTGTTCCCTCTTCAAATCCCTAACCTCACTACTAAATCTTTTCAAAATCTCCTTTTAGTTGTGATTGAATGTCTAATGTTTCTAAATTACTTTCTCAACTTACTCTGTTTCTTATTTCTTGAAACATTGTTACAACCAATTTTCTTGATTGAAATTTTCACATTCATTTACTACAAATCTAAAATCTATGAAGCACCAATGCAATGCAGAACACACATGACAAAGCACCACCAAGTCAACATACAACTTTTCAAAGTACATCAATGACATGTTAATTAAAATTCTTTAAATTCATAAATTTATAGATTATGTCACTATTTGAATACTCTTTATTTTTTAATACGATTAATACACTTAATGTAGCTTCAATTTTAAGATATAAAGGTAAATCTTTTGCGTACTACCAGGTATTTGTTGTATTAAGATAACTTCGATTATACTCTCTATTAACGGTGCCAACAAAATAAAAAATATTCATGTATTAGAAAGTGCCACAGTAGCATAAAACAACTTGGACATGAAGTCCATATAATATATCTCACGTGTTGACTTTTTTACACTAATATTATAATCTCCCTCATTTTATCTTCAAATATTCACGAAATGGGACTTGTGTGTCCTTGATGTGTCATGAAAATGTTCTAACATACATCTGGTGTGTCCATGAAGTTTAAACTTGTGTAATGTAACTTTAATCATTATCTAGGAATACGACGTGTAACATGATGTCGGAAGCTGTTTTGGACTGTCCAGGAAGCATCGGTATTAGATGCATGTTGAACATAAAAAATCCAGCCTAGGAGGAATGTTTTTGCTTCACATGCTACCATAAAATATTATTTCCATATCCAATGTAGTTCTAGGGTGTTGCATCCAACTTCATCGAGTGTTCATGTCATGTGTCTCTTTCTATATCAGTGCTTCTAGAACTCAAAGTTCCTTCCAAGCATTCATGGACATACAAGTTTGGATGGATTGTCTACTCAATGAGTACTGAAAGAAAAGCAAAGGTCTTTCATGTTTCCCCATTTGATACTTGATAGTCAATAGAATCAATACCATTAAAGCTCTCTTGTTCCTCCATCTCCTGAGCGCTGCATCGTATAGCACAGGGCATGGGATGCAACTAAGACTTATTATTCCCATTCCTCACCAAGCAAGCTAGTAAGTCCTTGGCAACATCCAAACCACATGTAACAGGTTGAATACTGGACTCTCCATATCAGCAGCCAATTCATAGTGAATAGAAGGATTGTTGACATTGCCTGGATTCTTGCATAGAAGACACCACCTGGCCTGCCTCAAATCATCAGCCCTCATAATAGGTTTACAGTTAACTGTCCAACAAGGGGACTTTTTATCCATGCTACAGATCACTCTCTAAATCAGCGACATTCCTGTTGAGCAAGCAGAAGTAGAAGGACGTCGTTTCAAATTTTCACTCCTCGAACTCCTCCAGATCATTTAATCATCACTATTCACTCACATCTTCGAGATACAGGTTTACAGCCTAGGATTTAGAAAATACATCTTTCAGTTGCAGTAAGCCCGAATCCTGTGAACACCTCCTGAAAAGGATATTCCAAGAGGCCACACTATTTCATAGTCCTCACAAAATCAGTAGCATGAGCCCATTTATGCACTAAAAGATTAAGGAGGTGGCTGAACTCCCCACCGGTATCACTAAATGTCTAGCCAAAAACTCACCTGTGTTCCATTTGCCACAATATAAAACCAATATATTTGCTAGATGACCCTTCATGGCAGAATGCCATAAGTTAGGGTATTTTGTTAGTCTACCCTCCCTACTTGCAAGTAAATTGCTCTCAGTTACCCTCCTCATAACATATCTCCAACAGCAAACCTCCATTGAACCCCATAATCTCCTTAATACTTACGCCAACACACCTCATGAGATTGTTAACTGCCTTCCACTTCACTAAATAATACCTACTTGATCACTGCACAAAACATTATTCATCACATGCTCTAAGATCTTAGAACTACCGCTTGAGGCGCAGAGAGAGAGAGAGATGATGGGGATAAAATGGAAGGGTACTCCTCTACAATTTTAACTTCTTTGTTAGATAGACTCTTGCCCACCAGCAAGTCAATTTTCAAACTTCTGAATTTTAGGGTGCCAGGAGTCCACAAGTTTATATGATGATCCCAGCCATGCCTGGAAAGAGAATAGGCAGGCTCCCAGTTTTACACCCCAACTCTGAGCCAGTTGCTTCAAATTGGGCACTTCACTCTGACATCAAACTAGTACCTAAAGACTCATATCTTTCAGAAAATCGTATTTTTTTTTTTTTCTGTTTAATTTATACAGACACTAGGAATCAAATTCCTCTATTTTAGATACCACATAAGATACTATTATGACAACACAATATATGAAGTTCGCAGAAACTTCATGGAACAGACAAGATCCTGTCTAAACAAATAGAATAATCAAGTAATACAGTAATTTAAAATTTTAAAATGATACATAGTAGACAAGATCTAATATTTATTCTCAATAAACCAAAAGTAATTAAACTTGAAATCTATCTAGAGCTTCGTACCTCCATCACGATTCCCCTCAAACTCTCAGAGTGCAATGGAGCCACTTTCCCAACTCGCAACTGGTTGCTTCAAATTGGGCACTTCACTCTGACATCAAACTAGTACCTAAAGACTCATATCTTTCAGAAAATCGTATTTTTTTTTTTTCTGTTTAATTTATACAGACACTAGGAATCAAATTCCTCTATTTTAGATACCACATAAGATACTATTATGACAACACAATATATGAAGTTCGCAGAAACTTCATGGAACAGACAAGATCCTGTCTAAACAAATAGAATAATCAAGTAATACAGTAATTTAAAATTTTAAAATGATACATAGTAGACAAGATCTAATATTTATTCTCAATAAACCAAAAGTAATTAAACTTGAAATCTATCTAGAGCTTCGTACCTCCATCACGATTCCCCTCAAACTCTCAGAGTGCAATGGAGCCACTTTCCCAACTCGCAACTGGAAGTCACCAAGTTGATACTGATTTCCCTGTATTATATCACATCTTCAGTTAATCCAACCAAAGTGAATTCACTCACTATTCTTTTCATTTTCTTTTTTTCAACTAAAATATTATTATAGTGGATCATCTCACCACAATTATCATTGTTTAGTACCCCAAATAACTAGTGATTAGAAAAACAAAGTGATAAATAACAAATACTAAACCAGTCTGCATATGTAAAAGCTCAATTACCTCAAAATTAAGGGCAACCCGAGTTCTATAAGACTGCAGTTTCTCCATTATCGTCTGAATACTCGACTCCGCTTCCAAAACAAGTCGCTGCCCTCTAATTACTAAGTAGTACTTACTGGGTAGCTCCGACAGCGAAATCCCCAAAAAGTCCCGCGGGAATTCATTGGCGTTCGCTTGTTCTTAATTATCAATCACCACAAAAAAAAAAAAAAAATTAAAAAAATAAAAGTTAAACAACCATATGACTCTACAGACGAAATTACTACGAAGAATTCAATTGTTTCTTGGAGCTGGCATCCAGCGGCTGCGAAATAAAGAACGAAACCACACACACGTACCTCTAGTAATGGCTCTATAGAAGCTAATGGTGGCTTTCCAGCGCCCTTCCTTGACGCCATTGATGCCCTCAGCGCACTGGGAAACTTCAGTGAGGATTTGGCTGTTGACCATTGTGCCTGCGTTTGGCTGCCAGTGTAAAATCCTACACACAAGCAACACGTATTGCTAAGATTATTGTACATATTCATATACATTATATAATATAAATTAGGAGAATCGACAAGATTACAGGTTAATTGAAAGCATGGAGTAAGAAAAAGGAAGCAAGTAAGCAATGGAAAAGGCGAGGATTTTCGGTTTTTCTCAACTTTCTCATTTATAAAAAAATTGAGTTACCATTTGATGGGCATAGCGTTGGTCGCTTGGATTTTTGCACTGTTGGAAGGGTGCCCGGAGAATGACTGAAATTTGCTTTTGGTTTTTCTTCCATTATAAATTTGGCATTGGGGTCCCAAACCCTTAAACCTTAAGGTCTTGAACTTTTGATTTCTAGCATTCTGATCCCAAACCTTTCAAACATTTGCTTGTGAGTTCAGTGGAAATAGTTAATTTGATCGTTAAAAGGTCGGTTTGTAAGTAAACTGCCCATTGTATGCTTGTTTGATGAGACATAGTTAAATAAAGAAGATAAAAGAACAAAAACACAAGCAATAAAACTCAAGAAAATAAAAATAAAATTGAGTGGGCATTTGTTTTTTATTTTTTGTGAAAATAAGAATGAAAAATATAATCATTACGGGCCCCATACAAGATATAGAAATTCAAATTTAGTAACTTGATGTGATGAATAACGATTCATATTTTTCGTTTTGACAGGGAAAGAATGGGAAATAAATAGGGCCTGAAACACTTCTCAACTTCCAATACTCCCACAAAATCCCTTCTCCGTTTATTTAACAAGGGGAATTCTCTAATTTTGACATTGTCAATGCTAGAAAAATTGGTGGCAAATTTAGTAATTATATTTATTAAAATACTTATTGATTTTTATCATCGGAATATTCAAACTTTAGTAGATATTTATTAAAAAATATATTTGGAATGAGAGAGTATTGATTCCAGGGACGAATCCAGTGGTCGAGTTCAGTTAAGATGGATTGCGAGCATTGAAACCTTACTATCGACGGCCAACGTCCGTGATAGCAGGGTTGTTTATTAATATTTAATTAAATAATCATACAAATTAGAATTAGAAGAACTAGATACACCTCTAGAATTAGAACTAAAAATAGATATGAACTTTCATTTTGGATAAAAACATCGTTCCATAATTTGTAAAATGCTCTAATTTATTTTTTAATTAAATATGCAACATATATTAACAAAATGCCAATATTGAGTTTACAATTAAAGTTAATTAAACAAATATTATTATATTAACAAATTGAAATTATTTATATGCTTAAATCAAATTTATGTGTTTATATGATTTCACTTTCTCACAATCGATTTTTTGTGAACGAAAAGTGGAACCTTTTATTAATTAAATAAGTTTTGTTGAAAAATTTCTTATGACACTAAAGTCAATTTTCCTACAAATTCATCCACTATTAATTGACCAGACTCTCAAATCAATTTAATAGATGAAAAAATAGAAAATAAAAGAAAAATGAAAATCAAGAAGAGGGACAAAGTACTGGTTAAAATGTTTTTACTTGCATTAAACAAATAAAATTTAAAAAAAATTATTTTGTTACATTATGTGCTAAAAATCAATATTTGTCATGATGATAAAGTGATCAATATGTTTAAGGAAGATAACAGGTTCGAATCACCATCCCTGCATTTGTTTTGGTAAAAATTGTTGAAATACAAAAATTATAAAAAAACAGTGCTCTTAAAGAGTTTCGAACACATAGCCTTCAATTTAATAATGGAAAGCCTAACCAACTAAGCTAATAGAGATGTTTGTTTTTAATATGAATTATCAAATATATAATCTAAAAATTTTATGTACTAAAAAAAAAAAAATTCTCTCCGACAAATCCAGCTAGGGTGGTTGCCCTAACTCGCCGACCCCTAAATTTTGTGGATTAAAAAAAATATATATGTCTCTTGAAGATAATTAATTACAAATATTGTAGATTAAAAAAATATGGTTTTTCGGCTGATGTTGTTGTAAAAGGAAAGGGGCGCTGAGCCTCCATATCTGTTAGGGGCGGAGCCGCAATGGAAAAAAGATTTTTTTTTTTTTTTTAGGGTTTTCAAGTATTTTGCAAGATTTTAGAGGGGCTTCTTCTGTAAATTAGGTAACTTGAAGCCCTTTGGTTGCAATTAAGGTTGGGGTTATAAAATTAAAGTTTCAATCCCCAACATTTAAAGTATATCCAAATTGGGCCTTTAAGTTTTGGATTTAATAATTCAATCCCTAAGTTTTGAATTGGTTAAGTTTTGACCCCTAAAGTTTTAAATTTGTTCTAATTGATTCTCTGAAGTTTTGAATTAATTAATTTTGGTCCCTAAAGTTTCAAATTTATTAATTTCAATCCTTAAAGTTTGGAATTAATTAATTTGCCCCCCTTAAAGTTTTGAATTATTAATTCTAAGGTCCATAAAGTTCAAAACTAAACAAAATATGCAAAATTGGTGATTCTTTTCTCAAATTTTGGTACTAAGGACTCTTTTAAGAGATATAATATTCGAAAGTTAGTTAATTGAAGCAATATGTTGCTAAAGCAACCTCTCATGTGGAAATTAATTAACTTAGAATATTAAAGATGTTTGTGCATGTGTTATTCATGGGAATATTGATCGGTCCAAAGAAATGTCAATATTCAGCCGAATACAGGTGTACCTGTGGTGATAAACATGTGACAATTATTTGGTTTAATGTGTGATAAATTGGTCCAAAAAAGGTTTATTGATTGACACATTGTTTTATCGTTAATATTTGATCACTACGCCAAAAGTACCGCTTCCATGTCAATATTTCTATCCAAAAACTAGATATTGATGTTGTGCTGGGTATCTTGTGATAGACCCTACCACTATTTGATATTATTATTATTTACATATTAAAGATATTCATGTGAGCTATTCGTAATAATCGTTCTCTAATTCAGTTTCAGGTTCTGCTGCTAATATATCTGCTAGCATCAATTCAATTCAAATGTTTAATGGCACAAATTTAAGGGCATGGCAAGAGAATGTGATGATTGTTCTTGGAGTCATGGATTTGGACCTTGCTTTATGAGTCGATCAACCTGCTACACTTACTGATAAGAGTACCTCTGATGACAAGGGGGAGATGAAAAAGTGGGAATGATCGAACCGCATAAGTTTAATGGACATGAAACGTGCTATTCCAAAAGCATTCCAGGGCACTATGTCCGATAAGGTGACTACAACTAAGGGTTTCCTTGAGAATCTTGAGAAGAGATTTGCCAAGAATGAAAAGGTTGAAACAAGTACACTTTTGGCAAACCTTATCTCAATGAGGTATAAAGGGAAATGAAATATTTGGGAGTATATTATGGAAATGTCTCACATTACTTCAAAACTAAAGGCACTCAAGTTGGATTTATCTGAAGGCTTGTTAGTGCACTTGCTTCTGATATCCCTTCCGGCACATTTCAGTTAATTCAAGGTGAGCTACAACTGTCAAAAGGACTCATGGCCCTTTAATGAGCTCGTCTCACACTGTGTCCAGGAAGAGGAATGATTGAAGTATGAGAAGATAGAAAGTGCTCATTTGGCCACCACTTCTAAGGACAAAGGAATAAGAAAATGAAGATTAATAAGGAAGCTGCTTGTACAGCATCACAAAAGAAATAGCATAAGAAACCAACTGAAGGTAGTTATTTCTTTTGTAGAGCTGCAGGTCATAAGAAGAAGAATTGCACCAATTACTACGCATAGCGTGTAAAGAAATGTATTCTTCTTCATTTGATTTGTTCTGAGGTTAATTTAACTTCGATACCTAAATATACATGGTGGTTAGATTCTGGTGCAACAACTCAATCAGTATGTCTATGCAGGGTTGCTTGAGTTGTCGAAAACTAAGTGATAGTGAAAGATACATCTTTGCTGGCGACGGCAAGAAGGTGGAAGTAGAGGCTATAGAAAAAATTAGATTATCATTAAAGACTGGATTTTATTTGGATCGTCTTAAGACATTTGTTGTCCCGTCTTTTAGACGAAATTTGATTTCTATTTCTGTTTTGGACAAATTTGGTTATTCTTGTTCATTTGAAAATGGAAAATTTAGTTTGGTTCATGATTCAAAATTGGTTGGTTCTGGTTCTTTATCAGGTTACGATAATCCTTATTTAATTGACACAATTACTTCTTTTAATGAATCCTTGTATGTAAGTACTTGAGGTGTAAAGCGAAAATTAATCGACGAGAATTCTGCCTCGGTGTGGCACAAGAGATTATGTCACATCTCCAAAAGCGGATTTGAGAGACTTGTGTCTGACAGGATTCTCGACCCTCTTGACTTCACAGATTATGATCTATGTGTCAACTGTATAAAGGGAAAACAAAACAATAAAAGAAGATTTCAAGCCAATAGGATTTCGGACGTCTTAGAACTTATACATATACATATGGATATTTGTGGACCATTCCTACGGGTTCTTGGAATGGTTAATAATATTTTATAATGTTCATAGACAACTTTTCAAGATATGACTACAAATGTCTCATTCATGAAAAATCACAATCAGTGGATGTGTTCAAAAACTATAAAGTCGAAGTTGAGAATCAACTCGGCAAAAGGATTAAAAGCATCAGATTTGACTGTGGTGGTGAATACTATGACAGATATGACGGTTCAAGTGAACAACGTCCAAGACCATTTTCTAAATTTTTAGAGGAATGCGGTATTGTCCCACAGTACATTATGCTGGGTTTGCCCACTATGAAGGTGTTGCTGAGAGATGAAACAGAATTCTTAAGGACATGGTAAGGAGTATGATTAATTATTCTACCTTGCCAGAATCTCTTTGAGGTGAAGCATTAAAGACCACAGCATATATACTCAACAGAGTTCCAATTAAGGTCACTGATAAAATCCTGTATGAGCTTTGGACGGACAAGAAGCCTAGTTTGAAGTACATACACATTTGGGAGTGTCGAACTGAGGCAAGGCCCTATAGTCAAATGAAAAGAAACTGGACGCAAGGACCATCAATTGCTATTTTATTGGATATTCTGAAAGATCCATGGGTTACAAATTTTATGATCCCACAATTAAGGCAATTTTCGAGATAGGAAATGTTCGATTCTTTGAGGACGTTGAGTTTGCGGAGGAAGAAAGGGTTACAGGCTTTGTATTTGAGGAGGAATATGTTGAAATTCTTCCAATTGCCATTAACAATGATCA